ACTTATCTTCCATCTATGTATCTTCTTTGAAATGTCGGTGCAGATCTTTTGCCTGTTTTTATTAGGTTGTTTTATAACTGTTAAGTTTTAAGAGAACATTATATATTCTAAATATGTTCTTTATTATATATGAGATTTGTATTTGTCTCCATCTCTGGTTTATTTTTTTGTTCTCTTAACATTGGTCTTTGCAGACCAATTTTTTTCTTTTATGAATTATGCTTCATTATCTAAAAAACTTTTGCCAATTCAAAAGTTTTCCTCTATGTTTTTTTGTAGAAATTGTATAGTTTTATATTTTCTATGTAAGTCTTTGATCTGTTTTGAGTTAGTTTTTGGGTACAGTATGAGGTGTTTTTGGGGAACGTGTACCAGCAATCAAACTCTGAACCTCACACTTACTAGGTAGGTGCTGTGCCACTGAGCTACATCCTTACCCTCCAGTATGAGGTTTTGATCAGAGTTCACTTTTTTTTTTTTAGCATTTGCATATCCAAATGTCATAGCATCATTTGTTGAAAAATATTCCTGTCCAACTTAATGGTATATGCACATTTGTTGAAGTCAGTGTATATACAGGCCTGTTTCTAGACTCTTTATTGTTGATTCAGTTCCCTACATTTATGTCCCTACCACATATGTTAATTATTGTCATTTTGTAATATGTCTTGAAATCAGGTAATATTAGACCTCCTGATTTGTCCCTTTCATAGTTGGTTTGGCTAGTTAAGGTTCTTTGCATTTCCACATAAATTTTTGACTCAGCTTATCAATTTCTGCTGCAAAATGTACCGGGATTCCAGCTGATGTGGAATCCATAGATCAGTTTGGAAAGAATTGACATGTTAACAATATTCAATTTTCTGGCTCATTAACTTGGGATAGCATTCCATTTATTTACACCATCTTTAATTTCTCTCAATAATGTTTTCTATTTTTCATTGTATAGGTCTTGAACATATTTGATTTATTTATGTCTACATATATCATATGAAAATCCATTATTTTTAAATTCCAGTTTATAATTTATTGCTAGTTTTTCTAATTACTACTGATTGTTATAGATTGACCTTGTATCATGCCACCTTACTAACCTCACTTAGTTTTAATAACTTTTGAGAAGATCCTACCAGATTTTCTACCAGCAGGCATACAGATAAAAAATAGCTTATTTAATCTTTCATAACCTAGGTATCTCTTCTTTTTCTTGCTTTATTGCACTGGCTGTATCTTTCAGTATGATATTGAATAGAAATGGTGAGAATAAATATTCTTGTCTTATTCCTGATCTTATGGAAAATGAATAGGAAAATATTTAGTTTCACCATTAAGGATGATGATATTATAGGTGTTTTTTATAAATTCCTTTCATCAAGTAGTTTTATTTATTAGTTTGCTGAGTTTTTATCAGGAATTTATGTTAAATATTTCCCAAATGCATTTCTGCATCATTAAATACAGTCAGCCCTCTCTCTATGTGGGTTTCATATCAACTGGTTCCTCATCATAGATTCAGCTAACCATAGATCAAAATATTTAAGAAGGAAAAAATTACATCTGTACTACATGTGTACAGACTTTTTTCCTGCCATTATTCCCTGTAGAGTACAACTATTTATATAGCATTCACATTGTGTTAGATGTTATAAGTAACCTAGAGGTTGTTTAAAGTATACAGGAGAATGTGCATAGCTTTTGTGTAAACACTGTTATTTTACATAAGGCACTTGAACATTCATGGATTTTGGTATTTGCAAGAGTCTTGGAAGCAGTCCCTCACATGTTCAGAGGGATGACTATAATTATGTGACTTTTCTTTCTCAATTTGTTAATATAATCTTTTTAGAATACCAGATCTTCTACAAACAGGCATACAAATAAAAATTGAAAAAAATTAACAGATATGAATGTGTTAATATGACAAATAACAGACTTTCAACTGCTGTTAAACCAACCTTGCATTCCTGGGATAAACCCTACCTAACAGTGGTATGTTTTAAATTAATGGATTTGATTTGCTAAAATTTGACTTAGAATTTTTTGCATTCTGTTCATGAAGAATGTGAGTCTATAGTTTTCTTTATTGTCTCAGTCTAGATTTGGTAGTGGGGTTATATTGGCCTCCTGACTTGGTTGGGAAAATTTTGGAAAAGTTTGTATAGTTCTAACTTATTTCTTCCTTATTCATATTTTCCTTATTCATATATTCATACCATTTAGTATGGTATTTTCTCTAAACTTTTTAGTTGTTTAAACATGTTTTCTTTAGTTCTTGGAACATCATCATGGATTTCGAGTCTTTGTTTAGTAAGTCTAATGTCTGAGCTTTCTTTGGTAGTTTCTGTTTGTTGCCATGGGGAGAGGGACTGTTCCTGCCCTTTGGTAATTTCTTCAGGTGTGAGTGATGTTCAGGCTGTGCTAAATACATGAGGATGAAAGGGCCTGAAATTATAGTAAAAAACCAAATTAAGTGTACTCCTCTAGTTTTATCTGCAAGGAAACTATGCCCTCACTTTGAATTACACACTCAAATATCTGGAAATTTTGTAGGACTTCAAGTTCTCTCACTATGCATGACTCCTCTCCATGGCTCAGTTAGTAAACCCTCGCCACCTTGGTCTCCCAAGAGTCCCAGCTGCCACCAGGGGAGTTACCTTTCCATGCCTTGCCTGAAAATTCTGGAAGCAATAAACTGAATGTTCATCTTGTTTGTTTTCCATCTCAGGAATAATTATCCTTCATTGCTTGTAATTCAGTACCTTAAAAAATGTCTCAAATTTTATCTAGTTTGTTGTTGTTACTTTAGGTGAGGGGTAAATCTGGTCCATATCAGTCTATTTTGACTTCAAGCAAAAAGTCAGATGTTCTATGTATTACCAAGGTAGACTTTTGATAGACTGTGAGTAGTGAAAAGGAAAGATAATCACTACTTATTGTCCTCCATAGTAAGGGAAAACTAAAAATACGTATCAGCGTAAATCTCTAAGAACATACAGAGATGAGGTAAACAAGAAGAATGCAGAAACCCAGAGGACAGCGGAAGTGAAGGCACAAAAGTGTGGAAGTACATGCCACGCCCTGTGGCTGACAAGTGTATATGGCTTAGAATAGAGCTCAGAAGCCAAGGCTGTGAGCCAGAGGCAGTCCTGATATCTTTGGTTGAATCCCTGTGTGTATTCCATTTTATCAATTGCCAAAATATAAAAGTTTTTACATAAAATAATGAAGATTTATGACTTCTGTTAAAAATAGTCCAGAGTCCTGGATCACAACCCCACACTTTCTCGTAGCTTCCATCAGCTGGCACCGAGCTGGGGCCTGCCCCTTTAGATGGGGCTCTGCTCTGCTTGGCACAGTCCGCTCCACTATTACTCCTGAACGTATCGTCCTTGGCTGGCTTCCCTTGTTCACCTTTTCACTGAGGCGTCCAGATATTTGAGTGTGTAGTTCAAAGCTAGGACATAGTTTCCCTGCAGATAAAACTAGAGGAGTACACTTAATTTGGTTTTTTACTATAATTTCAGCCCCTTTCATTCTTAGTCATATGACTACATTTTAATTACTTCATTTCATTGCTACTGAGGCCGCCATCACAGAATACCACAGATGAGGTGGCTTAACAAGTGCAGTTTATATTTTCATAGCGAGGGAGGTTGGAAGTCCAGGATCAAGATGTCAGCAACATTGGTTTCTGGTGAGGCCTCTCTTCCTGGCTTACAGGCAGCCGCCTTCTGATGGTATCCTCACATGGCGTCTTTTCTGTGTTTGTGCAGAGTGTGTGCACATGTGTGTACAAGCATATTCTAGTGTCTTTTTCTCTTCTAAGGACAATGGTCTTACCAAGTTAAGGCCCCACCCTTTTGATCTTAGTCAACCCTAATTACTTCACTACAGGCCCTATTTCCACAGTCACATTGGGGGTTAGGGCTTTAACATGAAGTTTGAGGCAGTATAGTTTCATGTATAGAATTTTTGTCTGATCCTACTGATTGCCTGATTTTAAAATTCTTGCATCCGTTTCAATCCCTCATTTGTTGTTTCCCACTCTTGCTGGACGTTCTAGAGAAGAGATGCAATCTTCTGTTCCTAAATTTTCCCTTTTTATTATTTTTATGTGTTTCTCCTAACACAAATTGCACTTTCGCATACTCACCCACAGCTATGTATTTTACTGCCACCTTGGAGTTATTCGGAAAGCTACATTGCCCACTCCCTAGGCCAAGATATTACAGGCTCTTAAGCATGAACTTCCTTCATCATGTTATTTTATGTCATTAATAATATCCTGTTGTTTTCATATGTGTATACACATGCATTTCCATCTAAGTTAATAAAACTTTCTGGCTTTTCCCAGGCACCTAATATTTTTCAGACACAGATGGAAATTATTTTTGTCCCTTCATTCCCCATTTCCTCGAAAATAAGACGTAAGCAGAAAATAATCAGCCTCGAAAACTAATGCCAACCTGGGCATGGTGGCACACACCTGTAATCTTAGCACTCAGGAAGCTGAAGCAGGAGGATCGTTGCAAGTTTGAGACCAGCCTGGGCTACAAAGTGAGCTCAAGGCTGGCCTGAACTGCGTGGCGAGACCCTGTCTCAAAAAAAAAAAAAAAAGAAAAGAAAACTAATGCCAGCCCCAGTCAGCCTATGCTTGCCTTACCTGCCTTACAGAGTAGCCACTGAACAAGAGAATAGTGATGGCAGGTAAGGCAAGGGTGAGCTGACTGGGGCTCGCATTTTCTATCTTTAGTTTGCAAGGCTGATTACTTTCCAGTTAGGTCTTATTTTCAAGGAAACATAGTTGTAGTTAAGAAAGAATAACTCTGCCTCTTCTCCTGAAGATAATCACTTGTACATTTCTGCCAGATTAATTTTTCTCAGATTTTCCCATTTATGCCCCTTCCATCCCCACTGCCGCTTCCTAGATCAAAGCCCCTCTCAAGATACTGCAGCAGCCATCTTACTGGGTCCTTCTTTTCCAATCTTTCCCTCCTCAGTTCTGAAATGGGCCAAAATCAGAGCCATGAGGACTGGGGACACTCAATGGATATGCAAGTAAAGAAGAATGAGCCTACAGGCTGAAAAGTCACCCTGCTAGAGGTAAGAGGAAGACCCGCAAAAGTTGTGTCACTTACTCAACAAGGAAAGACAGAAAGGCATAGTCAGCAATGACAGATGCCACAGAGAGAAGAGATAACCCGAGGACTGATGTGATCCCTTTGGGATTTGTACCCAAGAGGGCCTGTGTGGCCTTGGAGAAGACAGTTTGATGGTGAGTCCTGGAGGCAAAAATCAGACTGTCTTCAGCCTGAGAGGAAAAGACCCTCAGAACTGTCTTATTCTCTGAAAATCTGGACTTACAAGGAAAGACAAGCCTCAGCAGTAACCAGTGAAAAACAGTGTAGAGAAGATCTTTAAGAGAGGAGTCCTTTACAAACTGAAAGGACAGCCACCTGAGAAGGTGTCTTTCAAGGTGTGGGAGCAGGGGATAATCCCTGGGCCTTGAGGACATACACAGAAGTCTCATTTAACACGGTGCTGCCGGCTTGTACCACCATGGTACGTGCATGACTGTCACACCAGGAGGCTGCTACAGCTGGGGTGCAAGGAGGATGGTCATGGGACAGTCACGCATGTCTCACCAGTGGTTCAGGCTGCCCAGCAGCAAGACTTATGAATTAGCACCCCGCATGAACGTGTTAAAACTAGTAGGGTAGGCTGCTTCTGCCGCTGAGACTGGCAAGTAGAGAAATGAATTTGAATGACTGGTTTTGGTAAGGGGTGAGGCATAAAAAAGTCTTGTCAGAGGAAGCTCTTGTTTTCTGAGGTAGAAGTTAAAAATGAAGTGCTAAGGCACTATTCATCTCCACATGTATGAATGTATCACTTTCTAGAAACCAGATTCACAATTTCTGTATTTTTTGTTTGTTTGTTTTTGTATTTTTGTGCAGTAACTAGGATTGCACCTGGGGTTTTCCCTCTGACCTACAACACTAGCCCTTTATTTTTATTTTTTATTTTGAGATAGAGTCTCCTTAAGTTGCCAGGTTGCCCAGGCTAGACTTAAATTTGTGATCCTCCTACCTCAGCCTCCCAGTGTTAGCATCACAGGTATGTATCACCATGTCTGGCTTATTTTAAATGTAGAAAATGAACTCTAATTGTACAGATAGGATATAGATGAATAGTTACCTAATCATGGGTTAAGGAATGACTTTTTAAGTTGATGCCAGAATTTGAAAACATTTTTGATTTTTTTGTTTGTTTTTGCTCTTGTTTTTGAGATGTCATCTCACTGTATTGCCCAGGCTGGCCCCGAACGCCTGGGCTCAAGTAATCCTTCTGCTCTAGCCTGTAGAACAACTGGGTCTATGAGCACATGCTACTGCACCCAGCTAGAAAACATTTTAAAACAGATTTTTATATCTAAGTAATAGAAATTAGGCATGTCAAAAAGAAAAAAGATCATACAGTTTTACCTGGTATGGGTAAGAATTTTGCATAAATGACTCATGCGCATAACTTATAGAAGGCTCTAAGAAATCAACAAGAAAAATAAATACAGCAGGTGAAAAATTGACAAAGGATTGCCCAGGATATTCTTCAAAGAATAGATATAAATGACAGTAAACACATGGAAAATACTTACTTTCTAGTGATCAAATTAATGTAAATTAAAATAATAAAATAAGATGTATTTTTTTCCTCCCAAAATGGTGACAAGTTTCAAAATTTAAGATACCTAGTATTGATGAACCTGTGAAGAAATAGGTTCCCTTACACTGCTGGTAATTGTATAAAGATTGATCCATTCTTTGGGGAGGATATTTTGGTAATGAGTTTTTTAATAAAAAGTTTTCAAAATATTTATGTAGCCAAGCATGGTGGCACATACCCATGGTTCCAGCTGTTCAGGAAACTAGGGCAGGAAGATCTCACAAATCCAGTCTGAGGCCAGCCTGGGCAACACAGGGAGACCCTGACTCAAAACAAACAAAGGAACTAAAAAAGTTTATGTTCTATGATTTAATAGCTCTACTTTGTGGAATTTGTTTTAGGAAAGTATTTATATGCATGCAGGGATTTCATTAAAAGGCCCCTCCTTAAGCAGGTATTTTAAAAATAGAAGGAAAAATTAATTTATATGAATAGAGTGGATTAAATTATGAAACATTTATATAGTAATCATATTATGGAAGTATTTTATAGACATGAAAAATACATATGATTTTTAAGTTAAAAAGAATTGATATATTATATACATTGAGTATTAAACAGTATACCTCAAAAGTAGTCATTTAAGTGGTGGGATTTTGTTTAATTTACGTGTTTTCTGATTTTTCTACTCAGCATATATGTACTACTTGATCATTTTCATTTAAATGAAAATAACTTCAGAAATTTTTGAGTACAATCTGTCTTCTACACTTAAGAGAACCAGGTCTCAGAGTTACAGTGCCAGAGCGCCTGCACCAGCACGTGGTCCCTGGCTGCGTTCCAGGCTGCAGCCCAAGCCCACTGCTTTGTCTGTCCCTGCGATGGGGCTGTCTGTGCTCAAGTTTTTCCTGCCCGCGCAGAGCGTGGGGTCAGCCACAGATGCATACCTTCAGGGAATATTTGTAGGATTGACTTGCTTGTGGGATATGACCCAGTATTTTTTAAGAATCTTATTTTGTACACATAGCAGACACTCAAACACCAGTTTCATATTCACTTTCAGAATCTTGCTACACAGATGTTCTTTCTTTTTCCATCTGGAGCACCTTTTGAAAGGCTCTTGCTTTGTTACTCTCTTCTGTTAGCTGTGGGGATACTTTATGAGAAGCTGCCTCAGAGAAGGGATGGACTCTGGTGTGTTCATTTTTGCTTATTTGTTTTGCTCTCTCTTTTGCAGTGCTGAGGATTGAAGCCAAGGCCTTGCTCATGCTAGGCAAGTGCTCTACCTCTGACCTCCATCCGCAGCTTTTGGGTTTATTCCTGCTGTGGGTTAGAGGACCTCTCTCCCTTCCTTCTAGCACATCTCTGTGTCTCTTAGCGTCACGCCTAGTGCTTGCTACTCTTGCTCTTCAGTAATCACAAGTGTACACTTGATCGTCTCCCTTTTACCCCATCCCTCTTCTCCCCCTCATGTGCACTCTTTGTTGGTCTCTATCCAGTGTTTCTTCCTCTTCTTACTCTGAATCATTTCCCTTAAAGATGTTATCTTTGCTGCCTACTTCAGCTTTTTTTGTAGTTAAAATTCTCTTTGGTTCCCTCTCCTGAGGTCCCCTGGCTTCTGTGTTTACTTCTCACAGTGCCGTCTCCACCTGATTAATTTAACTTGTCCTACATCTTCTGCACCTGCAGGATCCATCTCACTAACTTCCAGCTGTTCATCTGCCCTCCTCTCCCCTTCCCTTTTCTGTTTTTCTTCTTCTTTTTTGTCCTACCACCACCGGGAACTCCTCCTCTCACTTTATCTTGCTCTTCCTGTAAGATCCTTTTGCCCTTCTCCCTGCCCTTCACATAAGTTTAGGATCTCTGTGTGACTTGTGCTATGCATTTATGTGAGCCTCCGCTACTTTCTTTCTCATTGTTTAACTTGGGACAAGTTTTTCATTATCCTTTTCCTTTGTGTGTTTAGGGGCCAGCATGTTCCCCTGGTAGTGATACTAAACTTGATGTGCCATATACGTGCCATTTTATACTCAATTTCAGTTGCCGTCAGGAGCTTCACTTGAACTTATTTGTGGGCATCTATATGTGATACAGACTTTATCTTCATAGCTCCATTTAACACATTTATTTTTGTTTGGTTTTTTGACTTTTTGGTTTTTTGGTTTTTGTGGTACTGGGGATTGAACTCACGACCTTGCATTTGCCAGGCAGGTGCTTATACCACTGAGCTATATCCCCAGCCCCAATTTAACACATTTAAATCAGGAAATTTGGAGCAACAAAGGATTATTTTTCTCCTTATATATTTTTCTTGTACAAAAAAGTAATGTAACCATTTATTTGAGTATGGGCCTGTGGGTAAAACGCAGGTGTTTGCTCATCCTCCTGTGCCCCCAGAGAGGGCTTTTAGGGAATGGTTAGCCTCTGCCCTTTCCTGCCCAGGTGCCAGCCTTCACTTTGCTCTCGATAGATGAGTAGAGTTGACCATCACTCTACCCAGCTTGCCGTCATTCCAAGCTGTGCAATAGGCACATTGAGAATTCCAGGCTCAGCCCCACTGGTTGCCTGCACACCAGCTGTAGTGTACCTACTGCATGGCCTTTAAGGAAGCAACTTCTTGTTCCATCTGCATGTTTCTTCTTGATTTGTATTCCGTGGTGTAATTTGCTGTAGGTCAAAGTTGCCTGCAGGTGCATGGTTAGCTATCATCTCAATCAGTCAGAACATTCAACAAATCACTTTGAAAAATATATTAACCCAATTGTAAAAATAAACACAGCTATAGACTCAATGAAAGACTTTAATAAAATGTTCTGTGTTTTTCTCTATCATGAATCATCATCCATATTTCTTCCTCTTTGAAGGAAAAACTTTACATATCTGATAGCCTACTCTTAATTTCTGGAAGTTACTCAAAGTTTGGAATTCCTTATGTCTGTGTTTGGGAAGTATATTTCTCTTTTGCTTATGTTAACCATCCAGGCCTTAAATAATTGCTAATGACACAAAAAGATGGTAGTGGTATGTTTCAGAGACAAACCATAAGATAGGTAATGAATATTTTGGTTTTGTTGTGTTATATGTATGGGGGGGTGGGTAAACAATATCTTTTCCTGTGCAGTTGCCTAGGTATAGTAAGATTTGGTGTGGCCAAAAACATTGCTCGAGCTCATTTAGTTCATTTTATGTACTTCTCCCCCTAGTAAAGAGTTGAAGAATGAAGACACAACCAAATACTCAGAAATGAAATAAATTAAACCAAATGGAATTTCTGTTTAGAGTTCACAATTTTCAGACACTAAGGAAGAAAAAAAAGATCTACTACTTCTCCCTATGAAAAAGCTAGAAAAATCAGAAGCAGTATATGGATAAAAAAAATCACTGTGGCCTTTGAACTTAATTGTTATAAACCATTGTGATTGTTGTTGGTCAGAGTATTGGTACCTGTATTGCTAGTAATTGCGTTAAATTTACATTACCACTGTTGGGAAACCAATAAAAAAATGCCTCTCAGTAAATGTGAATAAAAAGTGTTTGCATTGTTACAGCGCCCATTAAATTTTATGATTATTCAGTATTATTGTATCTAGAATGTGGTTGTATATGTGATGTTATACTCAGAATATGAAGTTATTGCTTTTGAAACTGACTTTATTTAAAAGATAAGCAATTTCAGAATGTTGTGTATTCAAAATGGTCACACGGACAAATGTATTAAAAGGAAATAATTTGCTTTTTAAAATTAAAATTTTGTAGCTGGATATGGTGATGTACGCCTGTAATCTACACTCAGGAGACTGAGGCAGGAGGATCACCTGCAAGTTGGAATTCCTTATGTCTGTGTTTGGGAAGTATATTTCTCTTTTGCTTATGTTAACCATCCAGGCCTTAAATAATTGCTGATGACACAAAAAGATGGTAGTGGTATGTTTCAGAGACATACCGTAACATAGGTAACGAATATTTTGGTTTTGTTGTGTTACATGTATATGGGGGGGTATACAATATCTTTTCCTGTGCAGTTGCCTAGGTACAGTAAGATGGGCTACATAGTAAGATCTAGGTTAGCCTGGCCTGGGCTACATGGTGAGATCTAGGTTAGCCTGAACTACATAGTAGCACCCTATCTGGAAAAAAAAATTAATTCAAATTTTGTGTTTCTGCTGAGTCACATATGTAATTTGTAATTTGATATACCTAAACTAAAAGTGATTTTTGATTGAACTGACAGTAGTGTTCCAAATTACTTTTTTACATGGCAGTTCATATTTAAGCATATAAGTAAATTGTAGACTTTATTGTTTGATATTTACTCTTAATATTCATTTAAATCATTGCACTATTTCTCTATCCAGAATAGCGTTTTCATTATTACATGACTGTATGTTTTGAAGTTTGATACACTAGTGAAATTCTCATTTGTTTTTTCTTCATTATCCTTTCTCAACTATATGATATATTTGCCAATAAAACATTTAGCATCAAGAAGGTCAAAATAATACAAAATTTTAAAAACTTATTTACCAGATTAAACAGTGGATTCCATTAAAATGAGAAGTGAGAAAAACAGTGTTGGGCATTGAGGTGTAAATTTTGTCCAGATGCGTAGCCAACGTGTGTACAAAATATATTTGGCAGTAATATCCCTGCACATGTGGTAGGACCATAAAAACTGGTAAACACGGCCCGACTGCAGAGAACTTTCAAAAACAAGGCACTGTGAGAAGTGTTCGTAGCTCCGTGACGCAGGGCCCAGCCCAAGCGCAGAGTCCACTGTGCCTGTGCGAGCGCGCCTTGTCCTGAATACACTGTCTGGGCCCGGCAGCTCGCATCACCCTTCCTTCGGTTTTTGTTGCCTTGTGAAGGCATGTGATCATTTAAAAATGAAGATAAGTTATATGTTTCCCTGCAGTTTCAGCTCATGATTTTTGACGTGTATTGATTCTTTGATTTTGCTTTTAAATTAATCACAAAGCATTTCAACAGATTGTAAAAATATGTTAAATCAAGACAGATGAAAAACTGTATCAGAAGCTCAGCATTTTCTAATATCTTTATGTTCACATGAAAAATAAAACAAAGAGTTATTTCTATGTTACAACTATTGACAACAGAAGTAACACATGAGGCAAACATCAGGAAAGGTGGCTTCTACTCGAATCCTACGGCTTTTCTACCTTCTCTTGCTGCCCGTGCAGGACTGGGCTGTGTTCACGAAGAGATGAATCGGTGTCTTCACCACCCGCTCTGACATGAGATGGGGTGAGAGAGCGCAGCAGCGTCCTCCTAGTAATTGGTCCAGATTATAACCCAGCAGCAGGTCAGACCTCAGAAGCCATCTGATGATTTGTGGCTCTACACATGTTCTTTGTAACAAATTCGTTTTGTTTTATTTTTATGTTGAAATTACTGAGTTTTATACTCTGTCATCTCTTTTCTCTAAATAAGTAACAGCTTAACACTACCTTCTGTATCTAATATTTTTCACTATTCATAGAATAGCATTCCCCAATTATTGATTCGAACCTTATTTTGAAGATTAAGGTTTTTGTCAGTATCAGAACTATGCTGTGAGGTGGATGGTGCATACCTGCCATCCCAGCACTCAGGAGGCTGAGGCAAGAAGATTACAAGTTTGAGACCTGATGGACAACATACACAGTGAGACCCTGTCTCAAGAAAGAACCAATAGATAGAATTTGCAAGCTAGAATAAAAAGTGAGTTTCTTACAAATTTAAAACATGGATATTTTATGCCATAAATACAAATTTATTTTTAAAATGCATATTTCAAATGAAATTTTTATTTTGAATAGCTAACACTTCATGCTTTTAAAATCTTGAGCAAGGTTTCTGTCACATAAAAGCGAACACATCACCTGAATTTTATGTATAAGTTACAGAAAAGTCTCATTTTCTGTTCAAGAAGTTCAGTAAGACTATATATGAGAAATATCTTGCCAATTTATAGCTTTATTCGACATGTCACTTTAGTCAGTTTTAAGAAATTAAAGTTCTAGAAACTATAACAGTTGGTGACCTTACACTTTTGTATGTATTTGAATGTTCTCCATGAAAGAGCCATATCTGCTACTTAAATTATGGAAATACTTTTAAACAAAATCTTAAATTACAGTAGATGAACATTTGAGTTTGGAACTTTCACAGATTTACTGTATAAGAACACTTCGTTGGCTCACGGATTAATCCAATTTAAGAATAATTCTTAGGGGTATAAACCCAGCACTCAGGAGGCTGAGGCAGGAGGATTACACTCAGCTACACAGTAAGACCCTGCTCAAAAAAAACAAAAACAATTCTTCCAGAACAGAACTCATTCATAAGTTGGGAACTGACTGTACATATTTGTCAGTTTTACTTAATTGAACCCCAAATCTTCACTTGATTATTGCACATAATCTCATTCCTCACAGCAGTTCCATGAGATGGATAAAACCTTCCCTGCTCTACAAGTAAGGAAGCCAGACTCTGGAGGTTGAGTAGCCTGTCAAGTGCACAAGTCCTGCAAATGTCAGTGCTAGCTGTACCTGGAGGTTTGTCAGACTCCACTGGAGATTTCTGAAATACTGGGTCGTAGTTGTACAGAGATTAAATGCTTATAGTTGAAACCGCTACACTACTCAAGAGCAGAAATGCAGTCCACTCAGGGACTGGAAACGTCTAATATGTTTGTAATACAATGGTGACCTAAAAAATGAACTATATGGGTTAAAATGGTCTCTAAAACTTTAGCCCATAATTATGTTAATAATTCTTTACTCTGAACTAGAGTTCTTATGTCTCCATAAGAAATAGGTTCTGTGGAATCAAACTAATTACATGTACAGTAACATTTTATTCAAGAAACAGAAAAAGGCGCCATTCCAGTCATATAAGAGATAATAAAAACATCAAGAAGCATGTCAGTCAACAGGCTAGAAGACTCAACCTATGGATGGACTCAATTATCTTCGGGAGAATTGAATGTCAGCATCACTTAAGGTTAACAATGGGCAAACTAAGCAAAAGCAGACAGCCACTCTCTGCAGAGGCCCGGGCAGCACACTTGGTAATGAGGCACTTCATTCATCGTATCCTTCTGCTCTAATTACTAAAATGAATAGAAAATACTTTAAGGCGGGAAGTGCATAACATAAAAACATTTGTTTTGTAAACACAAAGAATGCTATTTTTCTAATGATTCCCTTCAAATCTACGTCAAGCATATGTTGCGAGCACTCTGTCTTCTGCAGTTGCTGCCCTTACACCCCAGCTTCCTAACGAGTGTGGAAGGGTTTTGTCTCAGGCTAGTGCTGCAAAGAATCTACAATATTTATTTCTCGAATCTAAAAAAGCAAAGGGAATCGCAGATATCCACCATAGGTAACTTAGGCCCCACTTCTTTCACGTACATCAAAATAGTCTACATATTTCTGTGTCATTTCTAAAAATACTAAGCCATCTGAAGTTTACCTATTATACTTCATTTCTTCTAAACTCCTTACTTGAGCTGGTCAAGAATAATGTAAGAATAGAAGAAAATTGAAGAATGGCCTAGTTGTACACATTTATATAAGTAAAATCATGTATTGCCAATCAAAGGACAAGTCCTGAAATTTCTTGGGAAGGGGCTCATTTGCTTGATGAAAAATAACAGTCTAAAAGGGAAGAAAAGCAAGAACTTGTGGCTGGAACAAAAAGAAACAACTGAGGCTTGCAAAAAGCAGTCAAGAGACCAAAGGAAAAAGGTTCCCTGGAGAAAAGCTTGGTAGATTCAGTTCAGCTTTTCAGTGTTTTCAGCTGAAAATCGGTGTTTTTTCTGTTAAATTTGTTGTCAGTGCTATTCCATATAAATGTTAGACATGACTTTTCTGATCTACAATTCTGCAATTTAAGGTAAAGGAAGGCTAGTTAAGCATAGTAATGCTTTTACCTGCCCTGCCAATTACGCAGAAGTTAAATGTTCACAAGCTTCTGCAGATGCTGCTTTTAGCAACTAAATATTTCCACAGTGGTAAAGAAATATCAGTAAGATCTATGCACTTTAAGCATATCAAATTCTTATTATACTTATCATGTGTGCAGGCTGACTACATAATAAACTAGTCTATAGCAGCTGTAAATTTCTGAGGATTTATCTAACCACAAATACATTGAAATGGGGAAATGGGTCTATATTAAACTATGCAAGATGCTGCTGGAGCTGTGCCATTTCTGCAACATCCTGTAATTAATTTATCATGACAGGTCTGGCAAACTGAAATATCCAATACACTTGCGACAGACTGTTGTACTACAGTTGTTGCAGATCATGCAAGCATGTAAAGAGAAGGTAGATTTTTCTTCCAAACATGACAATAGGGCTAGCATATTTAGAGTGCTCTATAGCCAAAGAAAAAACCTCTAACCTTCGACCTTCAAAGCAAGAATATATGGAGTAGGGAAAATTTCCTGTGTTGAGGTAATAAACTTAGTCTCATTTCTGCCTGTGTGGTCTTTTCTGAGAGGACAGCCCTGGGCAGAGGAATGATGTGGCTGGTGCTAGATACGCTGGATTTCTCTCCTGGGAGATTGGAAAGTGTCTTGACCATATCCCCTTCCTATACATGAAGCTTGTAAGGCCACCTGCTCCATCTATCTGACATCGTCTTCTGAAAGTTACTGTCTGCCATTTTTCAAAGCACAAGTAAACGTTAACTTAAAAGTAATTCCTTTTTTTTTTTTTTTTTTTTTTTTTT